TTTCAACCAAAACCGAGTCAGAACCACACAGAATATTAATTAATAAATTAATCAGAAAATGTATACACATAAAAATAAAGTGGAATGGCTATTATTTGACAGAAAACATGAATGAATGAGTGTAATACTATAGATCAAAACTAATGTAAGTCAGGTCAAAGACAGTGCACTAATGAGATGCAGAATAAAAGGTGTTTATTAAAAGGCTGATAAATACTCTAACAAAAGCTCAGGAAGACATTAAAAAAACAGTTTTATCAACATTGTAAGACATAGCTAAATAAATAAGACAAAAGCTGAGAAGGTTCTGTGCTACCAGACCTTCTATATAAATAAAAATGTAAGTCATGATGCAGATGAGGTGGAGACGAGGTTTAAGAAGTAGCTTGTTGATTGTGTCAAAGTCTAAACTCAATTGGTCTCGTTTTTATCCATCTGTTGGTTCTTCGAACACTGCCCGTCCTACTTTGACCTTGAGAGAAGAAGTAGCCTGGTTCAAACTTGCTTGCCATGGTTTCCTCAGGGGCCAAGTGCCAGAGATGAATATGGGATAAACATCACATTTATAAAAATGAACAGAGGCATTTATCTTATAATTAAAAATGTCTGTGTGTTCCTAACATTTGGAAAACTGCAGTCATGTTTGGTTTAAATTTGTTTTTCAACATGAAGTGCAGCAGAGATTGACTCTCTTCATTTATTAAAAAATAGTTTTCAGCACTTTCAAACATCTAAAATTCATTAGCCAAATATCAAAGTGTTCTTTTTAAGCTACATTAGGTAAAATTATATTTCAGTAAGAAACTGTGTGTGTTTGTGTGTTAATACCACATCAGAAATCACTGGTGATCATGCTGGTGTCCCTCAGAGCTGAGATCTGGATCCATTCTTATTTAATTATTTGCCCATTGTTTGTTACCTGACATGCACAGACAGTGTGATGACGTGCAGATATACAGTGGGATTGTTGTGGTCTGTAGTTCTAGGATGACAAATGAGTCTGACATGTATACATCTGCAAACTGATACACATATTTTTGGATGCTTTAGTTACATGAAAGAAGGTTTGTTGAGCGTTTTTTTGTTTGTTTGTTTGTTTGTTTGTTTGTTTTGGTCTGGACTATAATGAGCAGAAGTACTCCAAAACAACACATTGTTGAAATGCTCATGTATTATCAGGTGTTTAGGCTAATGTATCTGCAAACAACTGGCTACATCTCCACTAAGTAGACAACAACCACAACAAATTGCAATGTCATATTTAGATACACTGACAGCTACAAAGGTAAAGCTGTGTTTTGAATCTCACTGGGATGCAGAAAAGCAGAAAACCTTCGAAACATTTGGCTCCATGTTAGTATAAATACATGCCTAATGGAGATTTAAATAGCTGACAATCATACAGTCACATGAGAAGTATAATATGAATCAGAAACTATTACTGAGGGTTTAAAGCTCTAAATTGGTGCTATTCCCCCCCCACACACACACACACACAAATTACTTTGACCAGCTGGATACAGCAAAACTACACTATAAAAATGAAACCCTGATCACAAGGTGAGCACTTAAGTGGAGGAAGTGAAAACAAATTAGTAAACACATATGGTCACTGGTATTTTATTCTTTTAAAACATTAAACATTTTGCTCTGCCTAGAACAGATATTTTGACCTGACATAACAAGAAAACCAAAGGTGTAATTGATAACATTAATGATGGCTCAGTTCCATTAAGTGTGCCAGTAAGCTGTGACTCTGAGCCTGCATGCACAGCAGAGGACCTCCTCTAAGTGGGATGCAGCCATCACCAGTGTTATTGAATACACCAGTGTCTATCCTGCTATGACATACCAAAGTGTCTGGTGTGAAAGAGAAGAGGTTTGTCGATCAGAATTTGTCTGCTGCAGCTGATAACCAGATGAGGTCGCTCACTATCATCCTGGAACTTTACATATATGTATTCCCCCAGGAGCAGATGTTGTAGAAACTGTCAGAGTAATTGTATCTGCGATGTGATGCTTAGTGTCTAAATATCACACATGAGAGGTTGTTTGGTATGAGACCAGTTGTTTCATGGTGCAATCTGCTACTAAGTGTGATGTTAAACGTCTGTGTAGATGTTTCATATTCCATGAGACATGACAGGGTCACATGTCGTGACTCTGTTGTGGGTGTGCAGACTTCTTTAATGTGCAAGAAGCTGCTGATTTTTCATATTATGTGACTTGTGCTTTTATTCAGTTTTCTGTTTTGATTGCTTGTTTTTCTAAACCTCTAACCAAACAAGGGACTACGGATGAAAATTAACTCTAAATTTGGTACAAATACATTCTGTTTACTAATACTATCAATTCAAACTTTAACATTATGTAATTTCACATCATCATATAGTCTTATTTACTATCAACTATAATTTCACATCATCATATAGTCTTATTTCACTGCATAACATCCTTATGTTGACGTGAATCTAAATTGGCTTCCTATACACTTATACAGTGAATTATACAGTGAACATTCACCAGAAATTTCATAATTCTCTCACTTGATCTCTTTTTTTTGTGCACTGATAAATCTCACTGTCTGTCATTCACAGGCTAGAGGAGAACTATGAGATAGCCGAAGGTGTGTGTATCCCCCGAAGTGCCCTCTACATGCATTACCTAGACTTCAGCGAGAAGCACGACACACAGCCTGTGAATGCAGCGAGCTTCGGAAAGGTAGGTTCAAAACCCGAATGGAGATGGAGGTTAAACAGTCAGAGAACTCATTGTTCCCACCGGCATCCAGTTTAAGTCAAAGTCATTTTTACACACTTTCACATTAACATCTTTAGTGAGTGTTTTTCTGTGAGCAGTTTTTGATTAGTGGTGGAGTTGAAGAACATTCGAGTCATTGTGACGACCGAAGATGAATCTGGTGATTTTTTTCTCAGCTTTCAGGGTTTTAATATACATTTATTCATGCAATGTAAGTTTAAAGTAATCGGAACAAAGCGACTCAACAGAAGAAGACACAAAACAACAGCTGGACATTATAGCCCCAATGAAAGCAATAATCTCATCCACTCAGTCGGCCATGAGCATTAGTCTGACCATCTACTCCCGGGCTGGTTTTGTGCTGCAGCTCTGGCTGCTGCGTTGAGGCAATATCAACTGCAGCTCAGTGTGAAGCAAAGCTCTGCCGTCGTTCACTAAACACATAATCTAGAGCCAAAGGAGATGTGCTTTCGTCTGTTCCCACAATCCCTCAGCTTTCCTACCCCCAGCTATCCCCTGTACCCT